AAAATAGATCACTTTAAAAGTCTAAAGTTTGGTTTAATAAAAGAAATGTATTTAAAAAAATTAAGGACTGTTTAAAACATTTTTACTTTGTTGTTAATTAGTATTTAATTCACAAAAAGTGAATTTGTTCAGTAAAGTATGGGCAGCAGCAGCTTCGTTAATGTGTTCTGTGTTTTTATTCCAAAGATCGTTTATTGAGCTTTTTAAATGAGGCTCATTTGATCAGAAAAGAAATAAACATCAATTACGGTTTCTAATTAATACAGTATCACATAAAGTCACAACAAGAATCCTGACTGTAAAGAAAAACATCATGATCGAAGTTGCTTCCATCCGATCCAATGGACCTGAATCCATCAGAGATTTCTACACAGCCAGTGCAAAAGTTGTGATATACACAAATCAAATAAGATGGAGTTTCATTTAAAACAATATATTTCACTAAAAATCATTCCTTCCTTTATATAATGCACTCAAAAAAATTGTCACTGAATAAAACAGAAGCAGTATTTGAATAGAAAGCACACAGTTTGATTTCCCAATGATGTCAGAGCTGGAGGGAGATGTTTACAGTGACAGAAACGAATCAAAACCAGCTGCCTGCCATCCTGTTTGAGAAGGAGCCAAGCTTTTTCCCAAACCAAATTATTTGATAAATTGAAGTCTGCATGTAATTGGATTCAACCACTTTGTGTCCTTTCCTTTCCTCCCTTGCATTCTGATGATCTCTTAATGGTCCATTGATTAAAAAAAAGACCATGGAAACAGCTGTCAAGCTGGCCAGGAAATGACTGATCACTTCTGAGACTTTTGTGTCCATTAAGATCTATTCTAGGCCTAATAGCTAATAGATGAAAGAATAAAAAAAGAAATGAAGTTTAGTAACATTTAGTTTGAACTAAGGTGGAAATTTAATCAATCTAGTCTTAGACTGTTGCTCAAGAGCATGGACACTATAAAGAATTTAAAAAAAAGAATAAACTAGATAAATTGCATTTCCTGTGAAAACGAAGTGTGAATGCATATTGCAGAAAAACAGTTAAAATTAGCTAAAAAAAACACGCTAAAATGGAATAACAAGTCAAAGTTAGCAGAAGAAAGCAGAAAAAAAAATATTTGCTGAATAAGGTTTAAATAAGCAGAAATGAGCACAAAAATTAGGAATTTAGCTTAAAAAAGGCTGAAATAAGCACAAAAAAAATCTGAATAGTAGCTAAAGAAGCAGAAAAAAGCTTAAATTAGGCTGAAAGAAGCAGAAACTAGTACAAAATAGTGGAAATTATCTGAAAAAAAAGCTGAAATAAGCAAAAAAACAGCTGAATAGTAGCTAAAGAAGCAGAAAGAAGCTTAAATTACAAAGAAAATGGAGAGAGCACGTGTGCCCTATTAGGATGAAAGAAGCAGAAATGAGCCCAAAAAAGTGGAAATCGTCTGAAAAAAGTAGAAATTTGCTGGAAAAAGGTGAACAGCTAAAAATAAAATTCTGCTTCTTTCAGCCTAATTGGGCAAACTTGTGTTCTTTCTGCTTCCTTCTCATTTGCTTAACAAGCATTCACACAATTATGACAAGTATTCAAATGTCATGAAGCATAGCTAATATTCCTAGTAAATTAAAATTCAAGTACGCAAGAAATACTAACGTTATTGCTTAAAAAAATAGAAGAAGCAGTGAAATAAGGGTGGACGGAGCAGTGACCAACTTTAATCCTGGAAACCAACAGTTTAAACAAGGTTTATTTAACAGTTTACAACAAAAAATGTATTTTATTCTAATTGTTTTGTTTTGTTTTGTTTTGGACCAAGCATACCATATACATTTCATTAAAAGTAATGTTCAGTAGCCAGTTTTTGAAAATCACAACCTTTTTTTTGTGCATGACTTGCAAAACTGCATTCTCTTTATTCATATAAATTTGATACCCATCTTGCCAGCTGCCCCCATATTTATGACTTAATCTACCGAAATAGACTTCAGAAATGAAGAAGAGCAGATTAGGGCCAGTTTTCCAATAATTGCTATTTATTATCAGCATGATATTTAAACCTTTTTTTTTTTTTTTCTGTCTGAGGAGATCTCCCTGTGCTCATGCTCTGGAAACATGTTGGAGACGCCTGTGACATAATGCAGGTAGGTTTGAGATGAATCAGAGGCACTCACAGTTAGTTTGTGGATGTTTTGCGCAAAATATTATTCCACAAATGTTTTGAAGTTATCTATTTTCTCTCAGTGGTTATTAATTAGTTTAAAAACAAGACGTTATGCCACAGATTTTGTTAAAGCCTCAAATAAACCCATGAGTAGTGATGGATATAGACCAATACAGTAACAAATAATCACCCCTTAGGCTTCTGATCTCACTTATATTTCTACAGTCAAGGTGCAAAAAATAAATAAATAAATAAAAAATAAGATAAAATTTTCCTATAGTGGAGCCAAAATCTGAAGAGTTTTCCAAAGAAAGACTTAATTATAGAGGCATCTCCAACTGTTGTGTCCCAGTTATTCTTAGTCTGGCAGTCCCTGCAGGCGCATGGTACAAACAGAGGGCCAGGCAACCTGAGCTTGTATTGTATGCTGCTGTTCCAAAGGCAGGTGTGGCCACTAAAAGCTTATAAATAACCACATCCTTCCATACAGCATTGTGGCCTTGAATAATGCCTTCTTTACTTCTGGGACCGGTGTATTCAGTTCTTGTCTATCAAATCAACACTGTATGCTCTGTGCATAGTAAAATTAAGCAACCATGACACAGAGGTGTACAATAAAATGTCAGCTTCCTTTAACTAATTGCAAAAAAGATTAAATGAATATGGACCGACTAACAGACGACTTGGAGAAGGCATTCAACCACGTTCCTCTGGGAACCCTGTGGGAGGTACTCTGGGAGTATGAGGTACTGGGCCCTTTGATAAGGGCTGTTAGGTCCCTGTATGACCGGTGTCAGAGCCTGGTTCGCATTGCCGACAGTAAGTCGGACTTGTTACCGGTGAGAGTTGGACTCCGCCAAGGTTGCCCTTTGTCACCGATTCTGTTCATAACTTTTATGGACAGAATTTCTAGGCACAACCAAGGTGTTGAGGGGATCCGTTTTGGTGGCCTTAGGATTGCGTCTCTGCTTTTTGCAGATGATGTGGTCCTGTTGGCTTCATCAGATCGGGATCTACAGCTTTCGCCGGAGCAGTTCGCAGCCGAGTGTGACACGGCCGGGATGAGGATCAGTTCCTCCAAATCCGAGGCCTTGGCCTTGAGCCGGAAAAGGGTAGAGTGCCCTCTCCGGGTCAGGGAGGAGGTCCTGCCCCAAGTGGAGGAGTTCAAATATCTTGGGGTCTTTTTCACAAATGAGGGAAAAATGGAATGTGAGATCGATAGGCGGATAGGTGCAGTGTCTGCAGTGAAGCGGGCGCTGTACAGGTCTGTCTTGGTGAAGAGCGAGCTGAGTCAAAAGGCGAAGCTCTCAATTTACCGATCAATCTACGTTCCTACTCTCATCTATGGTCATGAGCTTTGGGTTGTGACCGAAAGAACGAGATCTCAGATACAAGCGGCCGAAATGAGTTTTCTTCACAGGGTGTCTGGGCTCTCCCTTAGAGACAGGGTGAGAAGCTCGATCATCCGAGAGGGACTCAGAGTAGAGCCGCTGCTTCTCCACGTTGAGAGGAGCCAGTTGAGGTGGCTCGGGCATCTGTTTAGGATGCCTCCTGGACGCCTCCCTGGTGAGGTGTTCTGGACATGTCCCACCGGGAGGAGACCCAGAGGAAGACCCAGGACACGCTGGAGGGACTATGTTTCTCGGCTGGCCTGGGAACGCCTCAGGATTCCCCCGGAGGAGCTGGACCAAGTGGCTAGGGAGAGGGAAGTCTGGGCCTCTCTACTTAGGCTGCTACCCCCGCGACCCGACCTCGGATAAGCGGAAGAAAATGGATGGATGGATGATGGACGGATGGATGGATGGACAGACTAACAGATGATGTCAGGCAGGAATCCCCGTGGACTATGATGTTTGCAGATGACATTGTGATCCGTGGTGAGAACAGGGAACAGGTGGAAGAGAACTTGGAGAGGTGGAGGTATGCACTTGAAAGAAGAGGAATTAAAGTCAGCCGTAGTAAGACAAAGTACATGTGTGTGAATGAGGGAGGCTGGGGGCAAAGTAATATTTTAAAGATGCCCTCATGAATGCTTCAGACTGGATCACATCAGGGCTCTGTCCCAAATTTGAGACGGATCTTTTCAAAAGTGAGAACATTGCAGTCTGGCTCTTGGTTTGGGGTATTGAGCAGCACAATTAAGAACAACGTCTTTTCAAAAGCAAAGTCAAAGTTCAAATATTTTGAAAAGAAACCAGATACTTGGAGCCTCATTCTGCTCAATGACCCACATGTTCAGCGTCTCCTGGTTTTCTCATGATGATGCCTCCTTTCTTTTCCTTTGACTCCTCTGCATCTGCTCTCCAATCTCCCTCCTCTGATCTCCAGCTTGCTCTTTCCAAGACTTTTTGAACGCATGGGATTGTAAAAATGTAGAGGCAGTTAGATGAACTAGATGGGGTTTTTTTTTAATCAGCTTGTCAGGTGTTATTGTATGGGGAGTTACTGTCACTGCACCTTGTGCTTTTATCATTTGTCCACTAAATCAATATAGCTGTTAGTGATGACTTGTGTGTCTGTGTGTGTGTGTGTGTGTGTGTGTGTGTGGTGGTGGCTTTGTGCGTCCATTTGGGAACAAGTGTGGCTCAGGATAAGGGTGTGTGTGGACAGGGGAGGTTGTCATTGGTCTATATTTACCAACTTAAGAATGAGAGAGTATTGTGTTGTCCACATAGTTGGCACCGAAGGACACTTTGTGTTCAGGGTCACCCTCATCTTTTCATCTATGGAAATGTAATGGAGAGAGGGAAGGGGATGAAGACAGTCAGTAAGAGGTATTAAAGAGAGGTGAGACACAAAGAGTCAACAATATCTTCAAGGTGAGAAACAAACGGGCAGACAAAAAGGAAAAAGGAACACTTTTGTCCCATACATCATCTTAACGCAGACAACATCTTTAAGAAAGGGTAAGTGTTGTTTCCTCAAACCTCTCCTTGACCCACTAAAATTAGCTTTTGGGGGATTTTGCTTTTTAATCAGTTAAACAAGGCACTCTCATTACCTTACATGATAACAGTAAGCCTGTGTAAACTGCATACTGTACCCCTTCAGTACAACTGCTAAAAGCTAGTAATTAGTCCGTCTTTGAATTGTCAGGGAAGATTCTTCTCGTTTATCCTGGGCATGCTTGCTTGTTTTTCCAGATGAACTTTTTAATGGCCTCGTTTTGCAACGGCCTCAGTGGATGTAGCTTTTAATTACTCTGTTTGGATGTTATGAGCTTCTCATTGTGTGCGGACAGAGCTTTCCTTAGCGTACAGAACATTTAATGATCTTCTATTGTAACAGTTTTTAATCATATAAAAGGTGAGAGTTTCACTCGAGAGACTGAAAGTGGCAATGGTTGTAGAATTGGTACCACTTTGCGCTAGCTCTTTTTTGTCCAGAGGCCTTGGATCCAGGCTTACCTATGAAGGTAAGAGAGGAGTAAAGGAAGCCATCTTTGTGAAGAGAACCCGTCCATCGTTAAACAGGGGTGGGGGTCTCCGTGTTCAACAGTCCTCCTCTTACAATGCTGTTTTTGTTAGTATCACTCAGCACCCTGTGAGTAGCAAGCGGCCATCGGGGCACTAACGACCATATTTGCCAAGTCCGCTTATTACAAGCGACTTTAGGCTTGTTTTTTTCTAAAGTCGCTTGCAAATCTTGTGAGTCATGAGTTGCTGTTTTTTGGGCTTGTTTTGAACGTGAAGTTGCTTATTTGGGCTAGCCTTCCTTTTCGAGTGAAACTAGTTTATTATCTCCCAGCTCCGCAAAATAAAGCAAAAGACGAGTAGTAGTAGGTAGTTTGTCCCCTCCACACCCCCGTTTCCTGTTTATCATTCCTGCCCAAGTTGGCGAGGTGACAGGCACACATAGACATACACAAATACGTTTGTGGGCGCGCACCCCAAACACTCGTACCATGACTGACCACTAGGGGGCTTCACTCACACGCAGATGGCAGGATGTTTTGTTTTTAAAAATATGTAGAAAAAATTACATATTCAAAATTATTATTTTTTTAGCAGAGCTTAAAAGTATGTTATTCAAAGTGTTTAGCATGTTTTTTTATTATTTATTTGTAATGCCATAGGCCCTGTGATGGACTTGCGACCCGTCCAGGGTGTACCCCGCCCCTCGCACAGTGATTGCTGGACATGGGCACCAGCGACCCCCGTGACCCAAAATGGAATAAACGGGTGAAGATAATGGATGGATGGATGGATGTAATGCCATAATACATTTATGTTTATACTGTTTAAAATGGCCTCTGCTTTACACAATGTGGTGAGTTGCCAGTTGGGCTTGTTTTGGGCTTGTTTTCATAGAGCTGGTTGCTTGTTTCTATCGCGAGATCTGGTGGTGGTCCTCCTTTATCATGTGAACAGCTAGTTCTGGATGTCAACCATAAACTGGTTGATCCACCATGAGACGGTGCTGTTTATTAGACTGAGTTTCTTGCATCTCCTCAGACTGAAGAGGCCTTTTAGATAAAAGACGAAACGTTTCAAGAAGAAGAATCCGTTCAGAGGAACTGACTTAACCTTGTTAAATTTTTCTACCTGGACTATTGAGCATGCATCAGGATACTTACCTATGAAGGTTGATAAGTTTTAATGTCTCACGCTGTGAATGCAATGAGCTGCACAATAAAAGTGAATTCAGCTGACCTGCTAGCGTATTTTTTCATTCAACCTTTATTTAAACAGATAAATCCCATTGAGCCTCGAAGACTCATTTACAAGTGAGACCTGTTTGGACAGACAAAAACAACGGTTAACTGGACACATGTAGGAGTTGGAGGCAAAAAAAAAAATCCTATCAGACTTTTTTTTTCTTGCCTGAGGAAAAAAAAACCTCTAATATAATAATAAGTATTAGCACGTTGGTTGGCCCAGTCGCTGTTTAAAGTGCTTTATAAATAAAATAATATGGTATGGTAGCTTGTTATCTAACTCTACTCTGTTTTTTTTCCACAATGCTTTCAAAAGAATACCACTTTTTGTTACCAATACTGTTTCTTGGCTGAATGAAGTGATCACTCAGAGGCGACCTGATTCTGTTTGTTGGGCTCGTTCTGCTTTCACTTCCCCAGAACAGCCACATGATTAATGACGGCCAAGTTGTGAACAGCAGCAAGGCGGACCTCACCAGATGGATTATTAGAGGCTCAGTGGCCCGCAAAAGGTTGATTTATTTAACCTGGGACTGTAACACACCTTTCCATAAAAACACCTTTTAAACCCCATTAGTTTGCACACAAATATATAATTCACTACAGTTTTATTAAATGAATCGTTTTCTTTGAGAAAATAGAAAAAAACTGCCTGAAGGTCTCAATTAAATTAACATTTAAAGATAAAGCTCTCAAAATGAATTGTATGAAATATGTTTAAGGACAGAATACATTTTAAGACCATAAGTCAAGTCACTGATGGGCTTAAATTAATCTTTTATTTTAGTCAGTTTTCTTTTTAAAGATCAGCCAGTTCAATGATAATATTAGATGAACTGACAGACAAATGTATTTTTTTTTTTATTATCTATATTTTATGTTCAATATTCGGATCGGATTTGAAATGACTAGTGATAGATGTTTACTACTATTTTGTAAAATGGTAGTCAAAAAATGAGAAATTTACTATTCACTTTCTTCTAAATCAAGAATGAAACTGTTTAATATTGATGCAGAAAGAAAAATAATTGCAAACTGTTCTGCTTTTAAATACACTTTAGAAAATACTTTGAAACCATGTCATAAGACGTATTCTTTAAAACAGTACAGTTCAAGTTTTGAAAGCTTTTTTTTTTCATAAAAGAAGACTTATCTTTTTTTAAATTATTTTATTAAAAAAATGTTTGTGTTTAGCAGCACATAATGTATTATCTGTGCATTGTCATGAGTCAACATGACAAATGATATTTACATAAGTCAAACTGTGGATTGATGAAATGTAAATTTTTAAGAATAAAACTAAAAGTCAAATATTTCTGCGACAGTTTTTAGAGCTCGGTTTGCTCTGTGGTGTTGAGAACGGTCACGTTGGACAGCTGCAGGTTCGATTCAAGGATTTATTGTCATTTGTGTGTATAAAACCTGCTCCAACGACGTGCTTCAATTCATTTCAGTTTATTTATAAAGCGCCAAGTCACAACAGAAGTCATCTCAGGGAACTGAACATTAATTTACATAAAAAGTCAGTTAATAATGTTATTTATCTGAGGAGCTTGAGAAGTGAGAGGAGGGGAGAGTCTAATGTCCATTAAATATGTTGTGAAGATAAGAACATAAAGAAAAGGTGAAGGAGGGACACAGCAATCCTTGTCTTTATTTAACTGAAACATTGGAAATGTAAAACCATTTTTCAGCTGATCTAACACTCGCTGCGAGGCGCTTAAATAAAACTGACTCCTAATGAAGTTGCTCTTACACCCGAGGTCTCAGTACTTTCTCTGGGTGGTCCTCTTTGACTCTCTACCCTGCTTCCTCCTACACAGCTGTGAAATCTCACTCCTGGACTCTCCTCCCATCAGGTCCCGACTGGGGTGGGTTACCATGGAAACCAAGACGGTGATGCTACGAGAGCAGGAGCAGCAGTCGTCCCAGATGTCTCACAGCATGCAGCTGTCTTCGCAGATAAAGAAGAGAACCTTCACTTCCAGGTGCAGATTCTACCGACAGAAGATAAAGGAATGACAACGCTGGTTGTACTGTTCACGAGAAGCTTATCGTTTAAATGATGAATCTGCTCAGATCGATTATTTTTAAACTGCAGAGCCGATAACAATCTAGCAGTTGCATATCACCAGAGGTTTACACTAAGATCAGCTTGTGTTGCCAAATAAGAGAGTTGGTTAAACCTTGAAAATAATGTGTCCGACCACGTGTTCTATCCAGATGTGTCATGCTCAGAAAATGTAACGTGAATGACCCTCTACATTACATCTTAGTTCAGTATCTGTAAAATCTACTTGGGTATTTTTGTGTTTGCAAACATCTATTAGCTGTGGCAGCCATCTTGAGCTGGACTGACACCATGGTCGACACCAACAGTGTGATTTGAATGAAATTCTACAGGAAATTTTAGATTAATATCTGTAAGAGTGGCTGAATTATAGCCGTTGTGTTTTCTAGAGCCTGTCGTCTGTAGCGGCCATACTGAATTGGATTTTCTCCAAAAGTTAACAACTTGCACATATCTATAGAATCGTCATTGTCCGCAAGGTTCAACAAAATCCATTCAGTGGTTCATGAGATATTTTCCTGATGCTACAGACAACTTATGACCCTTTTCCACTGTCACAGCGCGGGTCGGATATTTCCGGCTTGGCCTGTGTTTGAGGTCTTTTCCATTGTTCCTGGAACCGGCTCGCCTCCCTATATTCTGGCCCGGCTTCTCAAGGGGTCCAAGCGAGCCAAGCCGTGACGTCAGAAACGCTGTCGGTCACTGATTGGTCGGGGGGAGGAGTCTGTGGAGTCTTTCCAAACAAGTCGAGCCGCCATTTTTTCTCTCCCGCTTGCTATTAGCGATAACTCGAGGAGCGTATCTTTTAGTATTTTGAAGCTATACAACAACAATAATATCAAAGCCGTGGTCAAATGCAGAAGTGCAGGTGTTGTTGTGCTTGGTGGCCGACGAAAAAAGTCAAAGCGAGCTAGATGGAGCGATTGGAGGGTGGTTTGGACACGGTTACTGCTCTAGGAAAAGGGGCAAAATATGCACATGGAGGCATAAAGCAAATATACTATGGCCTTTAGCGAGGGGGGTGGAACAATACCGGTAATCCTAAACGTTTTATCGCAGCTAAGCAGTATTCTTCTGTGCCACTTCATTTGCCAAACAAAAACTATTATTGACATCTCAGGTCATTAAACTGCACGAGGGTCCGTGTCTTCCATTAGGATAAACACTGCCGTGCACGATGCACTCAGGTTTGTTTCTTCAATCACACAAATACCAGGATTAGCAATTACCAGAGGAGCAAAGTGTCCAGCTATTTAATGTAATGAAGCTCCCATAAAAATGCATTTAAATATTCATTATGCTGAAACTTTTCATCTTCATTAGAACACAATGAGCTGAATGCTGCGAGCAGCCAACAATGTACTGAAAAACAGCACGATCAGTTTCACTGAGGTCAAGAAAAACACTGAATATCAATCCCACTTTCACTTATAATCCAAATAAATTATCACTTTCATAAACTACAAAAACTCACATGTGCAAACCTCGAATTGTGAACAGATTTTTGTCACTGGTGGGTGAATTACTCGTGAAATGTGTTTAAAAGGAAAATACAACATATGGGCTCAGATGTTTAAACTGCTTAAATTTATAAAGTATTTATAGTGAAATGAAATTCTTAAATGCACGCACTGCTTTCATTTTATTAATCTGTTTTCTGAAGAAGCTGTAACCTCTCTTGTTCTTCCAGTTTGTATGATTGTAATCACCACTCTTATTGAGATCGATCTACATTTCCTGAAGCGAGGATCACATTTATTTTCAAAGTAAACAAAAAATAAAGGCAAGAATAAACTTTCAATTTTAACTTGGGAGTAAACAAGTTGCTAAAAAGGTGTAAATGTCTTCAAATGACTTCCAGCTGATAATCATAGTAAACAGCAGCTATTTGACTATAAGTGGAGTCTGTTTCAAATCATATTTTGACTTGAAACCTAAATATTTAAATGAATTAACAGAAAACTGGTTTTGAACATGCAAATAAATGTGTTATTGCCCACAGTTATAACAGCAAAACAAAAACTAAAGACAGGAACAATGTCATTTACATAGAAAACCTACCTGCAGCCACAGCACACTCATAAAACATTTACTGTAAAACATTTCCTCTGCATCAAACATTTTCACAAATCTGACCACAACGTAACTTACAATATAACTTATCTTACACCAAATGTTTTGTCCTCACTCTGATGTATTTAGCTTTTACTGCTCTGCAACACTTTCTATTATGGCGTTCATCATCCTCACACATTCACTCAAATATTGTACGGCAGGCCGGTCCGAGAGGAAAAATACCACAAAGCAAACACACGCAGGTGATTCCACTGAGATCAACAGAATCACTCCCGGTCTGCTCCAAAATGCTCCAGTCAAATTTGCCTTCGTTTTCACAGCCCCACAGCGGTGAGTTATTAAATTAGACTGACCTGTGGGTCCACAATCTCCAACTGCAGAATAAAGAGATTTGGACGTGGTTTTATCCTCGGGGATGGTAAAAATAAGCAATTATTCCATCAAGTTCACATTGAACTTATGATTTCAACTACTCTTTTGGTGTAAAAATAATTGTTTTACTTTTTTAAATGAGCAGGTGTGTACTTATACCATACTCAGTTCACACAGATTTACCTTCATGCTACAGATTTTTGTATTTGTTTGAGCACAATTTAAAAACGGAGTCCCTTTTATACAAAATGATTTATAAAATTACAATCAAACATGCATTTAGTACACCGCAGATATTTTGCAAAGTTAAACACTTGTGTGAAACTGAACATTATAAAAACTATTGATGCCGTATCAAACACATTGTTCAAATAATGACATTTTCCTCCTTTTTTAAACAAAAGACACTCGCATGTGCTGAACCTTGAACACTTACTTTGTTTTTACTTACTGCAAGTTTTACAGAAAGAAAAAAAAAACCACAAAGCAGTAGTACACAAGACCAATCCTGCACACTGATGAAAATATTTATGTGTTCAGTATATACAAATATGCAAAAGTACATTCCAGTTTTCATTGCTACCGTAAGCTCAGCAAACATTTGTGTTGATGGAAACTGTAAAAAACTATTCACAGCAAATGCATGCAACAAAAGTGCTTATTACAAATTACTGTATTTTTAATTAAACCTACGTGGTTGTGTTTAAATACTTGGTACGTAGGTGTGGCCATATATATATATATATATATATATATATATATATATATATATGTATAACCCGCAAGCACTGGCTGGTGGACCCCTGGGGGTCCAGGAACCCCAGTTTGAAAACCACTGATTTAGATAGTCAGAGCTTTGAAATGGCAAATAAACATAATGATGTACAAAGTATGTTTGGTCTAAAGTAGATAAAAGTGTTAATGTTTTGCAAAATGTGAGTCTGATGTGTTAGTTGTGCAAATCTAGGCTGCTGTTTTTCTACTTGATTGTAGCATTTTACTTACTGTGGGAAAAACTATATTAGTGTGCAAACCTGGGAGTAATTACTAGAACACAGTTTAAAAGTGGTCTCTTAATAGGTTTCATAAAACACAAAGAAGAAGTGATTTCATGTTGATCATTTTAAAAGAAGTGATGTGCTTCTGCCAACAATAGTTTGCTGTTTATTTTTTGTCTTGTGTGCGTTGACCTTTCCCTGCTGACATGAAACACTAAAAACAGATCGTCCTGTACTGCTCACGTTTTCCTCTTTTTTAATTCCTCCTGTCATTTCCTCCTGATTTTGAGGAAGGTTGTTCTTGTTTATTTAAAAAAAGCATGAACGTTCACCCTCTGCGCAGTGTGCAAGCCGCACGTTAAGTGTTTATTTGCCACGTCCTGAGTGTTTGCGTCTCTCTGTGTGTGCATAACTGTGGCTGTACTCGTGCAGTACTGCTCAGCCGCAGGCTCTGAGCTACATTATTAAACGACACAAGGCTCTGAGCACACACAGGGAACCTAAACAAAGCACGAAAACAAAAGCAGGACAGCAAAAGCAGAAGTCGTTCTCTGAACACCGTGAAATGGGGAATTTTTGTGGGTGTTTGCAAACAAAAGAAAACGAGAAGTTGTGGTAATTTGCATTGCAATTTGTAAAATGACTTGCTGAAAAGAACACCTGAGGCTATACGTTGTTGGCAACTGTAGTTGGGGGTTGTGTGAAACACACGCACACACCTGAGTAAACAGTTCTGGAACACATCTTGTGAGTTATTTTTCAAGTGTGTGTTACCTTAGAGAAGATGGATTGTTCTGTATTGAATTTTTACGTACACATTAGACACAACATGTTCAAAATAAATCTAACTCAATCCCAAAAAATGACATTCATGCATATTATAACTGTCGTTGCTCCTAATAAACAAATAAATCTCTTCTGTGGATAGAACAACAGAAATGTTTGCTTTTCTTGTTACAAATACTTCTTTCGATCTCATTGCCATGAATCACGGTCACCAATGCTTATGAAGCATCCACACTGTTGTGATCCAGTTTTCTTACGTACGTTTTTCGGCGTGATTCTCGTCCCACAGTTTTCAAGCTATTACATACTGTATGAAAAATATTCAGCTCTTTCAGACCAATCCTGTTATGACTTTTGGTACTGGTGCAACTTTACCTTGTAGAAATATTTAGCCTTTTCCACCACTGTTTTCTCATAAAATGAAATAAGCTTGTTTCACATCCTTCATATCTTTAGTGTTTTTTACCTTTTACTGCTCCTTTCACATTTATGTTCTGGTTCAGCTTCCTTGTGCAAATTTAAACCTTTTGTTAAGCAACTTTCAGCTAATTTCAGCTGCTTTTTCAGCTGGTTTGTGCTCTTTTCAGAGTCTGTCTGCTAACAACACTTTAGTGTTTCTGCTAACTCCTTTCTGCTAATTTCAGCTTGTTGTGCTCATTTTAGCTTATTTCTGACAGTTTTAGCTTTTTTCTATTTAGCTGTTTTGTGCTAATTTTAGTGTTTGCAGCTAATTCCACATTTTATGTAGTCATTTCAACTTTTTTCAGCCTAATTCAGCAAAAAGTGCTTTCTCCACTTCCTTCTGATAATTTAAGTTGCTTTCTGATTTTTTAGCTGCTTTTTAGCTGTGGTTTTTTTTGTTGTTGTTATTTTTTGGCTAATTTCAGCTTTTTTTTTAGATAAATTCCACCTTTATGTGCTAATTTCATGCTTCTTTCAACCTAATTGGGCAAACGTGTTATTCCTGCTTTCTTCTACTAATTTAAGCTTGATTTGCCTTTTCAGCTATCTTTTAAAAAAATTTTTTTTTAGCATTTTTAGTTAATTTCAGCTGTTTTCAGATAAATTCAAGTTTTTCATGTCAACTGCTACTTTCAGCCTAATTAACTTCTTTATGGTAATTTCAGCTTGCCATGCTTCTTTCAGCTTTTTTCTGTTAGTTTCCACTTTTGCTGCTATTTCAGCTACTTCCATCCATCCATTATCTTTACCCGTTTATTCCATTTTGGGTCACGGGGGTCGCCGGTGCCCATGTCCAGCAATCACTGTGCGAGGGGCGGGGTACACCCTGGACGGGTCGCAAGTCCATCACAGGGACACATAGAGACAAACGAGACAAACAACCATTCACTCTCTCACTCCCACCTAGGGACAATTTTAGAGTTACCAATCAGCCTAACATGCATGTTTTTGGTCTGTGGGAGGAAACCGGAGTACCCGGAGAAAACCCACGCATGCACGGAGAGAACATGCAAACTCCACCCAGAAAGGCCCCTGGACCGGGGTTTGAACCAAGGACCTGCTCGCTGAGAGGCAGCAGCTCTACCAGTTGCGCCACCGTGCTGCCCTATTTCAGCTACTGTTTATGCTAATTTTAGCCTTTTCAGCTAATTCCACATTTTTAAACTCATTTCAGCTCCTTCCACTTCCTACTGGTAGTTTAAGCATCTTTCTGTCTTTTCAGCTACTTTTCAGCTTTTTTTTTTGTTGCAAATTTTGGCTTTTTTTTAGCTTATTTCCTAATTTTTGCACTCATTTCTGCTAATTAATAACTAAATCATCAAAAAAAAAGTGTTATTTCTGCTTCCTCCTGCTCATTAAGGCTTGTTATTTCATTTCAGCTGCATTCAGTGTGTTTTTAGCTCATTTCAGCTGTTTTTCAGCAAGTTCTTCTGCAATAAGCATTCACACTGCATTTTCACAGGAAATGCAGTTTCTCTAGTTTGTGATCTAACGCTACACAAAACACACAAACAGCATAAATAAAACCTGACACAAATACATCGTAGGACATGAAGGTTTAAGATACTATGGTGCACAACAAACACCAAAAGCACTGCACCATAAAAAAACTATTATAAAGAGCCAAACCTTTGGCCTTTAGCCCACATTATTATGTGTGTGAGCTCTCATCAGCAGCCACTGTTCCCCCTGACTGAGTACGCTCCCTGAAGACAATAGCATGTGTGTTCGTACACTGATGAGAGAAAGGGGAACACTGACAGAGCTGAAGCAGCTGATTATGATTATGACATTTCTAACACTTGAGTAAAATTGGGTCAGACAGTAGGCTGCACTGTTTGAGTTGCTAAATTAGACTTCGCGCACAGGATGCACCCAGAGACTTTACCTTGTAAAATCACATAAATAGGTTACATTTCAAAAGACAAGTAACTAGTTTTGCATTTTAAAATGCACAGAGGATCCTTGCTTTTGCACTTTTATTGTGACTCATACTTGCTTTTTATTTTAAGTCAAAGAATGAATAATACAGTAAATGACACTACTGTGCAAACATTTTAAAGTAACCTGATTTATACAACATCTCAGTGAAGCAAAATGTTTGTTTTCTTTTTAATGAATTCATGAATACTTTTTGAAATTTTAATTTGAACAATTGCAGCTTTTTCTCTCAGGTTTAGACTAGCCATTGTTTCTGACCATTTCCTGAAATTTTGATTCTTGCTAATACAATAATGACCTAGCAATTTATTCACATTTAATCCCTCTTTTTGGGGGGGTGTGAATAGCTGGCTGAATCCCTGAGGTGCATAGAAACATGACTCCTCATGCACCTTACATATATCAGCATTAGGCAGAGCTCATTCTGATGTACGCCCTGTTCTGCTGCTCAGTCAGAGAAAATTAGAGCTGGTGCTGCTTTCAAGTGGCAGAGGAGAATAATGATCCCATGAATAGATTAGATAATGTGCCATAATCCATGACAAAATGAAAAGACAGGCTAATATGAGCACATATTTTCTCAATTACCAGAATAAATAACGCTAAAGGATGATGAAAGCAGATCTCCATTTTTCTCTTTTACTTGTGTCATTTGATTTGCAAGGTGTGTGTTAATCAGACTGTTTCCTTTCCTCCTCAACATGCGCCGACTCCCCAGCGATGAGGAAGCTTCTCCTTCTGGTTTGTATCCTATCATTCCTGCTGATGTGATGTCTGTCAAAGAGATCCTCAATATGAGCAACTTGCCCTGCCACAGGACATGGTGAGAAAACATGCTGCCACAATAGACAAGTAGTCCTCATCATAGATCAAGAAATACATTTTAATAAATTAAAACTAATATTCATAATATCAATTTATATTTCAACTTAGTTGATATATCATGATAGATAGCTCTTATAATTAGAAGTTATACAGCCTAGCAGTATCATACCATGATGTAATACATCCCAAAAAGCCTAAAATATTATGTATAACTCAAGTATCTATAAAATAGTGCAATATCTTTATAGAGAAAAATTCTGACCTCCAGCTGCAGCTCCTCACTAAAGAAGCATATTTAAATTTCTCATCTCGGAAAATCTTTTGTGGATACAAAATTACTAAATCTGTGTGGGTCTCCTTTTCAGAAACTAAATTAAAGACTGCGAGCAAGCCTCCACTTGTCTCCTGAGGACTTCCTTCCTAGATGATCTGAGCATGTCATAAAGCTCTGCCTCCATCAAAACTCACCACCAAATCCTCTTTCTCTGCTCTTAATTGGAGAAAGAAGAGTAGGTCAAGTTTCACTGATGTATTATGCTGCAAAGAAAGTAGAGAACAAGAGCTTTTAAACACTCAATCTATAATAGAAATCAGGCTTTTCCCCTTTCTCATCCATCTCTCTGTGAGGCCAGCTGGGTCCTTTCATTTGTTTTGTTTTTTTAAGAATGTCACGACAGCAATAAGTCATAATCATTTAAATGAGTCATAGCTTTCACTTTTTATTTTGTACAGAGAAGAGGAGAAAAAAACTACTTTCTGTTGGAAGAAGTAAAATGTTAGTTTGTAAAATTTTACAATTATAAGTTTACAAATTCTTTAACATATTTTTATTTTTTGCTTCATAGGGAAATTAAATAGCAAAAACAGCCACTAGGGAGCTCCTACCAGTGTATCTTTTGCGCTGGGCCAAAGCCTGGAAAAATGGTGAGGGTTGTGTCAGGTAAAACTAATGTGTGAGTTCATCAAAGTGACACCATACCAGATCGGTCGAGGCCCGGGTTAATAACGACCGCCACCGGTGCTGATGACAAACAGGGTGCCGGCAGAAAGTGTGCTACTGTTAGTTGAAGACCACGAGGAGAGAAACATGTCAGGAGACAGAGGGAGAAGAGGAAATTCAAGAATGTAGGACTGAGGGTAGCAACTCTAAATGTGGGGACAATGACAGGCAAAAGTATAGAGTTGGCTGACATGATGCAGAGAAGGAAGGTAGATGTTGTATGTGCCCAGTAGACCAAGTGGAAGGGCAACAAGGCTTACAGCATTGGAGAAGGGTTTAAGTTTACCATGGTGTGGATAAAAAGAAATGGAGCAAGGGTGGTCCTAAAGGAGGAGTTGGCAAAGAATGTAGTAGAGGTGAAAAGAGTGTCAGAAAGGGTGGTGTGTTTAAAGGAAGAAGTAAAAGATCTGATGCTAAATGTTGTCAGTGGTTATGCTTCACAGGTTGGATGTGACATAGAAGAGAAAGATACATTTTGGAAGTATGTGGATGAAGTGATAGAGAGTATTCCCAGGGAGGAGAGAGAGTGGTGATCAGAGCATGCCTCAATGGACATGTTGGTGAAAGAAACAATGGGGATGAGGAAGTGATGGGTAAGTGTGGTGTCATGGAACGAAACCAAGAAGGACAGATGGTGGTGGATTTTGTCAAGAGAATGAAAATGGTTGTCAACACTTATTTCCAAAAAAGGGAGGAGCATGAAGAAAGAGCACCACAGATGCCGTCTTTGCTTTGAGAATGCTAATGGAGAAGTGCAGAGAGGGTCAGAAAGAAATTCAATGTGTCTTTGTGGATTTAAAAAAAGCATATGACAGGGTGCTGAGGGAGGAAGCTCAGTCCTCACCTCCTTCTAGGTGTACATTGGAGAGCATCATGTGCTCCAGCATCAACGTGTGGCATGGAGGCTGCACAGCTGCATAAAGAAAAGATTTGCAGAGAGTGGTGAAGGCTGCACAGAAGACTGTTGGAGTCAGTCTCCCCACCATCACAGACATCTACACCTCTAGATGCAGGAAGAGAACCACCTGCATCATGAAGGACTCCACTCACCCAGCACATGCACTTTTTGCCCCACTCCCCTCAAGCAGGAGGTTGAGGAGCATTAAGTGTAGAACCACTAGACTGAGGAACAGCTTCTACCCTGAAGCTGTTAGACTCATGCATATCTAACCAGAAAAAAATCACTGTAATGACACTTTAAATGGTGATATGTCACTTTGTGCTGCTGATTATCCATGCTGCCGATTTCTTACCCATAAGCTGCTATATTCATGCCCATCTGCTCACAACATACTCATGTTCTCCATCCATTATCTTTACCCGCTTATTCCATTTTGGGTCACGGGGGTCGCTGGTGCCCTTGTCCAGCAATCACTGTGCGAGGGGCGGGGTACACCCTGGACGGGTCGCAAGTCCATCACAGGGACACATAGAGACAAACGAGACAAACAACCATTCACTCTCTCACTCATACCTAGGGACAATTTAGAGTTACCAATCAGCCTAACATGCATGTGTTTGGTCTGTGGGAGGAAACCGGAGCACCCGGAGAAAACCCACGCATGCACGGAGAGAACATGCAAACTCCACCCAGAAAGGCCCCTGGACCAGGGTTTGAACCAAGGACCTGCTCGTTGAGAGGCAGCAGCTCTACCAGTTGTGCCACCGTGCTGCCCTACATTATTATTGTGTAGCATATATTTTAGATCCCTGTTTCTTTTTTATACTTTATATTTTTGCTATTTTGGGTGTAAATGGGACTTGGAGTACATAATTTCATTCCATCTCATGTACCACATGTGATGCGAATGACAATAAAGAACTTTGAACCACCATGAACTTTGAACTTTGATGGGGACAGCAGGACAGTGGTGAGATGTGCAGTAGGAGTGACAGATAGCTTCAAGGTGGAGGTGGGAGTGCATCAAGGATTGGCTCTGAGCCCCTTCTTGTTTGCTCTGGTGATGGACCAACTAACAGATGAGGTCAGGCAGGAATCCCTGTGAACTATATTTTGCAGATTGTGATCTGTGGTGAGAACAGGGAACAGGTGGAAGAGAACTTAAATAGGTGGAGGTATGCACTTGAAAGAAGAGATGAAAGTCAGCCGTAGTAATACAGAGTACATGTGTGTGAATGAGAGGGAGGCTGGTGGAACAGTGAGGCTACAAGGAGCAGAGGTCACAAAGGTTCAGGACTTCAAGTACTTGGGGTCCACTGTCAAGGAAAATGGGAAGTGTGGTAAAGAGGTGAAAAGGAGTCCTGGCAGGATGGAGAAGATGGAGAAAATTTTCAGGAGTGATTTGTAACAAAAGGTTGTTAACAAAGGTCAAAGGAGAAGTTTACAAGACAGTGGTGAGACCAGCTATGACAAAAAGACAAGAGAAAGAACTGGAAGTGGCAGAAATGAAGATGTTGAGGTTCTCCTTAGGAGTGACATGAATGAATTAGGAAGATTGATCCAAGAAGATTAGCAATGAGATCATCAGAGGTACAGCACAGGTTGAACAACTGGGAGATAGAGAGGCCAGACTGAGACGGTTTGGACATGTCCAGAGGAGGGACAGTGGGTATACTGGTAGAAGGATGTTAGAAATGCAGCTGCCAGGAAAATGACTGAAGAGATATGTTGATACAGTTAGAGAGGACATGAAGGTATTTGGAGTGAGGACAGAGGATGCAGAGGACAGATTGAAAAGAAGGAAGATGAATTGTTGTAGCAACCAGTAAAAAAGGAAAAGCCAAAAGAGGAAGAAGAGAAATTAAATAGCAAAAAACAACAACCAAAAAAAAAACACTAATTCAAGTTTTAATTTCCAAGTTTTTGTTCTGTTAATTGGGGATCAATTATTAAGTTTTGATAATAGAGTTGGATCTTTTTTGTCGGTTACAATACATTATTGTATCAAATGAGCTGAAACTAAAGGAGTGCAAAATCTTTTTTTTTTTTTGACCAGTAAAAAGTATGCCATACATAATAGATTTACTATTTTTGTTGAGAGAGGCAATAAACCTATTTCAAACATTGTAAGAGATTTAATTAAGTCTATTTTAGGGAAAGTCTGCAGTTTTATGGAAGGAATTACTGAAATAAATTTTGGCTTTAATGTGTACGATGAATATTTGTTTCTCTACAAAACTATTTCATTGCAGCTTTTAGTACTGAAAATAGTAGAAAATGCTTAATTAACAAGAGCTGGATTTCATTTCTGCACCTTTATACGTTGCTTCGTTTTAAAGTAAGAAAATCTCTCTTTAAGTAGGAAATCAGCCTCATTAATGCTACAATTTAAAAGTCAAAAAGTCTGCTATATAAAAAAGGTGTACTACTTAATTTTCAAGCCATAACTATAATTATTCACTAACTTTATCAATGTATTTGGTTACAGTAACCCTAATAACAGACACCCAATGTTTGATAAAGTGCAGCTTATTATTTCACAAGATTTTCACAACTTTAAATTGAAATATTCCTATTAACAATTAAAGTGTTATTAACCAATTTAGCCAAAGCAAAATTAATAGGATTAGTTAGGACAACTTATCAAACTGTTTTCCCCCTTAGTCACAAATCCATGTACAGAAAAATAAAAATAAATGAAGTGAAAATGTTTACTAAAGAAAAAAAAAAAAGAGATAATTTGTTTTGCAACCAGACGTCATTAGCTACCAATTCTCAAATCCTCTAAACATAAGTGAATCTGAATCTTTTGTTGACAACATGCGCTGCAGAGCCGTCCTCTCTTTAGTCGCTGATGATCGTGCTGCCAGGACAGGATTACTGCTCAGCTGTCAGAAACAGCGTGTCATATCTAAAAATAAGGTCTTAGAATAGAGAGGTTCGGGTCACATGAGAACAGAAGCGGGGGGATTATTGCCTCTAGTGACTTGATTTGCGTTACCAAAATCCCTCTTTTGCTGTAAGGGCACCTTGTCCTGTCTGGGTCACACGCTGTCTGTGTTGAGATTTAAAAGCACTTTCACAATTGGAGGCTTAGCAGCAGCAACAGCAACAGCCTCTTTATGGTTCTACAATACAACTGAAACGTACTTGGACTTTTGTGTCAAAACAAATACGACATATCTAATGTCTGAACTTCAGCATTAATGCTAAAAAACACTATTTTTACTCTCTCAAAAGGAACTTTTTTAAATTCGTGTAACCACGTGGCTCTGCAAGCTCAGCATCTCACCTTTCAGTTGGTGTCCTCTCCCATGCCGCCACCATAACCAGCAGTCTTATAACTTACAGCCAATTCCATTCGTTTACGTTTTTTTCTGTTTTTCTCACCTTCAGACTTTTCCAGCTCGCTAAATCATTCTGCCTTTTGAATTAGCTAGATTAAATCTGTTTGAAGCCTGCTTTCTCCACCATTGCTTCTTTGATGTGCTGATGAAGTTCTGTGGACTGAAACTTTATCATCAAGGCGATTTAGCACAGAGGCTGATTAACTTGTAGGGATACAGAAAGTCTTAAAGATGATGCTGAAACTCTTGAGGGCTGGAATGTTACTTTGGGTCTAACAAGATGGGAATGGGTGGTATTGGTTTCAATTTCTCTGCAGTTTAGCTCCAACCACATGTTTCTATCTGACTGGGTTTTCCACCACCTCGCTTACGTGTTTAGGGAAAAGACATATGTTTTGCGTCAACCATTTTCTAAATTTCCATCTGGAGCAATATTTAAGCCACGAACCGCCTCATACTCATTGACTTAATCAGGATTGCAGTAATTCACCCCCTCAAGGATGAACTCTTCTGAGCCAAGAGATTAAAAACATTGACACACACTAAATTAGTCAGTGGCATCGCAATTCAAAACTGAGTCTTTGAGCACCTGAGTGTGCATATGCATCTATGCAAGTGTATGCATATTCATTCATGCAGTGTTCGCATTTTACAAAATGATTACGACCATTTGGGGGTCCATTCATGCTCCAGTTGCCATCAAGGCAGTAAAATTGTGTGTGAATACTAAATAATTCTGCTCTTTGCCGGGACAATGGATGTTTATGTGTTTGTGAAGTATGCTCTCAAATAGTGAAGCCCTGGGGACTGTCAATCAAAGGATGGTTCAGGATACACAAGCGTTTCTCCTGTGTTGAGAGAAGACTATTAAAACGCTGCGCTTAAAATGCAGTCAACGTTCAGGACTGTCCTGGAGCATGTTTAAATCAATGCATATGGATGAACTGCGCGTACACAAGAGGTGCTTGATGTTGTCTGGAAATACTCAGAGCCACACGCGTTACATGTATGGGTACTGATTACCTTTGGGTTCCACAGTTGTTTAAAGGCTTCTTCTTTTGCTTAACAACCTTCAAAATGTACCTTGAGTGCAAATTCAGGTACAAAGACCAAGATATAGCAATCAACATTTACTTAAACATACAATCCTTGAGTTCTAATCATTATAGTACGATAATATAAGTACACAAAAATGTATTAAATTTGCAGAATACATTGTTAGACCTTTATTTATACAGGTTATTTCCCATTGAGCCTCGAAGACTCATTTACATGAGCGACCTGATTATATAACTTTTTATAATCTATAAGACGTAATTTTAAATTTATAAGACATAACTTTGATATGATGAACAGGTGTAGTCATTTAACAAGTTCTGTAAAAAAAAAATTAAAAAAAAATCATAAGGATACATATACAGAATTACTCCAATGTCTGCTGTGGAATCACATGTGGAATAGCACTGCACTAAGCCACATCTGTAACACCTAATATGTTTGTTGCTGCTGCACTATGTGACTGTATCATGTATGTCATACCTTACCATTAATTCAGTTCAGTTCAATTTAGTTCAGTTTATTTGTAAAGCACTAAGTCACAACAGAAGTCATCTCAGTGCACTGAACAGAAACTTCCACACATACAAATAATACTTTAACATTATTTATCTGAGGAGCAGACTGCTTTGATTTTAACTCCATCACAGAACTCTCATCTTGAGCAAGCATGAAGGTGACAGTGGAAAGGAAAAACTCTCTCATGAGGAAGAAACCTTTAGCAGAACCAGGCTCAGGACAAGCGACCATCTGCTTCGACCGGTTGAGTTTGAGAGGAACAGATACACAATGGCAGGTCAAGAATCTACTTAAAATAGAAATATTATCAAATGAAAACTATTCAATTTTAACAATTCATTTTAGGAAATGAGGACAGTTTGTCATCTAGTAGTCCAAGTGTACAGCAGCATAACAAGCCAACCCTAACTATAGAATTGATCAAAAAGGAAAGTCTTAATCCCAGTCTTAGAACTGGACAATGTGTCCGGCTCACAAACAGAAACTGGAAGTTGGTTCTACAAGTTCAAGTTCAAGTTGCGTTTATTTGTCGTATGCAAGCAAGGTTAACACAGGGTTAACAGTACAATGAAATGCTTGATAACTGAAAGATCTTCATCCCATTCTGCCTTTGGAAACTCATAGGATCCACAAGTAAACCTTCAATCTGAGAGCGAAGTGCTCTGTTAGGAAAATATGTAACAATAAGATCTGTAACATAAGATGGAGTTAGATTGTTGAGAGCTTTGTAGGTTAGAAGTAAGATTTTGAATTCAATTCTGAATCTGACAGGGAGTCATGGAGAGAAGCTAAAACTGGAGAGATATGATCTCTCCCACTAACTCCAGTCAAGACTCTGGCAGCAGCATTTTGGATCAACTGAAGACTTTTTGAAAAAGTATTTGGACACCCAGATAATAACAGTCCAGTCTAGACATGACAAATGCATGAACCAGTTTTTCTGCATCATTTTTAGATAAGATGTTTCTAATTTTAGCTCATCAAAAATCACAATTCATCAACGTTCAACAAAGTCCATGCTCAATAATCCAGGTACACAATCCAACATTTTTCAGTCAGGTCATCTGGACAGTTTCTTTTTTTGTGCTGAAACATTTCGCCTTCGATCCGGAAGGCTTCATCAGTCAAGGAAACACACAACACAAAACTGATTCTACCCCCCAACAGCTTACTCCACTTTATTTTTCTTTAAAATAAGCAAAGAGAGTGCAAAACAACAAAAACAATGTAGACAATAACTTCATTTCAGTTCAGAAATTTTGGTTCATTTTTCATTTGCCATCATTAAAATGGTTTAATTTTGTCAGATAATCTTAATATTGTTTATTGTTTTTTTAAATGAACAGTATAAACCATCCACTGCTTTATATTTGTTGACTAATGTATACTATATGACATTGCTGTCCAAAGGAAAAACAAGAATGTTTCTTCTGACTGAAAGAAAAAAGAAAAATACTTGAACTCCTCAAAATCACCATCAGAACAGCTTGAGGAAAAGTATGAAAGATGATCTCACACAGCCAGTGACACTGCACTCATATGAACCGCAACACCTGAGTGGTTTTTGAGTGACTGCAGCATATCACTTCACATTCATGTGAATCAGTGGTGACAGTCAAGTTGGATTTACACTCAACTTCTCAGGCCTCACAAGATCGAGTGAGCATGGCTGACACATGTTGCTCCAAACATCGCTCAAACTTCTGCCTTTGTTGCAGTTTCTATTCTTATTACTTCTTCTGCTGAAGGTTAAACACGTTTTGACAGATTCTAAACACGTTCGTTTATAGTAGAAATGTTAAATCAACCCTTCAAATGTGTTTCTTTGCTTGGCCCACTTATTAGATCAAATGATGACTGTTTTGAATTACCGTATTTTTCACCGTACACATCGCACCGCCCTACAAGTCAGTCCAAATATGTCTAATAAAGTAGAAAAATTCATAAATATGTCGCTTCGCCATATACGTCACATCTATTATACGTCACTGCTGACGCGCCGTGTTTGTTACGTGTCACCACTGACAACCTGGAAATGTGGGCTGGTGTTGTGCCAAAAATCGATTGGCTGCCAAATGGCGGCTGCGGGGGCGTGTACAGGAGGACTTTAACAAGAATTTAGCAAGATTAACACTTAAAAACTATTATTTGTTTGCTCGAAATTATAGTAAAGGTGTGTCTCCTTCTAACTTTTGCTTAATAAATGCACTTTGACAGTCCAATCAGCTGCATTTTCAAAAGCTGATATGTGGAAACATGAATGTGCCGAAGGCGACTCCATCCATTTTTTCAAAATTTAACAAGAAAACCACCTAAAAACTATTATTTGTTTGCTCGACTTTATAGTAAAGGTGTGTCTCAGTTGAACTTTTACTTAATAAAGGCACTTTGATGGTCAGATCAGCTGCATTTCACCGGGGCGGTGCAGCGAAATGAAGCTGATTCAGTTGCTCCAGGCAGATGACGGTGGCAGCCTATGGCAAGCCTATTGTGTCATTACTAGCTACTTTCACCTATTACATGATACAACGGCATGTCTTATTACTCAAGCACCATCTAGTGGCTGAAAATGGTAGTGTTCACTTTTTTTAGTCAGAATGAATGAAAACGGTCATATCTCAGCCAAATATTGGTTTATAAATATGGGAAAAAATCCATAAAAACGTCGATTCGACCTGTAAGTCACAGGGCATGCAAATTATGCAAAAAAAAAAAAAACGTGACTTATAGGCCAAAAAATACGGTAGTCTTTGTGTTGACTGGTTTTATTTAGAAAAAGGTGTCAAGTACATAAAAATAAAGCTTTTAATTATCTGAACTGTTTCTATTAGGGAAATCCTGCAGGAAACAGCGGCTACCGATGTGGAGTATCAGAGGGAGGAGTGGACACGATTTGGAAACGAGGCTGAGAAGGTTGAGCTAGACGTAATCCGAAACCAACATGTGCTGCGTGCTCGTGTTGACAAAATGGCACTTCGAAGAAAGGTTTATTATTATTATTATTATTGTTGTTGTTATTGTTAGTGTTGTTGTTGTTACTATTTCTCTCAGAATCAGTCAAGTATAGTAAATGAATTACAAAGATGAATTCAATTCAGTTCAGTTAAGTCCCATCAGAAGTGGTCTCAGGGCACTGTACGAAAACATTAACAGACATAAAAACCAATTAGTAAAAGTTATTTATCTAAGGAAGCCAGCAGATTGTGTTGAATCTTCACTTAGTCATGGTCTCCCATCCTGAGCTAGCACAAAGGCAACAGTGGAAAGGAAAACGCCCTTTTAACAGGAAGAACCCTCCAGCAGATCCAGGCGCAGGACAAGCGGCCATCTGCTTTGAGCAGCTGGGTTTAGTAAACAGGTAGAGTAAAGCAAGTAAAGACAACAGCAGATAGAGGAAATGTGGTCAATTTGTAGCGTAAGCCTATAGCAGCATAACTAGGGGATAGCTCAGGAAGCCCAAGCCGACCCTAACTATAGGATTTATGAAAAAGAAAACTCTTAAGCACAGTATAAAAACTAGACAATGTGTCATTCTCAGAAACTGGAAGTTGGTTCCACAAGAGAGGAGCCTGATAACTGAAAGATCTTCCTCCCATCCTACTTGTAGAAACTCTAGGACCCACAAGTAAACCTGCAGTCTGAGAACAAAGTGCTCTGTTAAGAAAATATGGAACAATAAGATCTGTAAGATAAGATGGAGCTAGGTTGTTGAGAGCTTTGTAGGTTAGAAGTGAGATTTTGAACTGTATTCTAAATTTGACATGGAGCCAATGGAGAGAAGCTAAAACCAGAGAGATATGATCTCTCCTACTAACTCTCATTAAAATCCTGACAGCAGCATTTTGGATATCATTACAATAAATATATATATATATATATATATATATATATATATATATATATATATA